GAATTTAAGTGGGGCCCCTGGCTCACACCTATAATCCCTGAATTTAGGTGGAAACCCTGGCTCACACCTATAATCCCTGAATTTAGGTGGGGACCCTTACTTATACCTATAATCCCCAAATTTAGGTAGTGGGACCCTGGCTCACACCTCTAATCAAGAGGAAGATAGATCTCTGTACATTTGTGGCTAGCCTGGCCCACATATCGAGTTCCAGAACAGCCAAGACTACAGAGAGACCCTGTCTTAAAAAAAAAAAAAAAAACAACCAAACAAAACCATCAGAACAACTTAAACCCCAAACCCAAATATCACAACAATTATTTGCTTGTTTCTCACCCCTCAGAAAGCCTGAGAAAACTACTGTTTGTCACTGTTGCCGTTTGACATGGGCTCCACTGGTGGGCTCCTCTGACTGTTGAGAGAGCTCTCCCCCTAGGTTCCAAAAAGTTACCAAATCCTACAATGGAGGGGGACTCTTCCCTCTTCTGGCCTCTGGTGGGTATGATAAACCAGCACGGTCACTTCAGCGAACTCAGCGAACTCGGGCATCCCTCAGACCTAACGTGGGAACTGAGGGAGACTCCTGAAGGAGCCGCAGTCCTGCTCTCGGTGACGGCAGTTTCTCTTTATGGAGACGCCAAAGTTAGAGCGCCACCTGGTGGCAGGGCTGGTGAGTGACAGTCTGAGAGGGTTCCTCTTTGGGATGTGGCAAACTCTCTGACATCTCAGACAAGCTCCTGAGCCTCCTACAATACAGTGTTTTGCCTCCGTGTGTCAAATGTTCCACATGCGTCCACATGCGTCTCAGAACTCAACACTATGACGGAGGTACCTGCTCCACCATCAGGAGCTACTCAGCAAAGTTCATCTAAGCCACATAAAATAGCAGTTATTGTTAGCTAGCAAAGCTGCAGCTAGTCTGTGGGTCATGTGCTCACCACGGCCTCCGGAGGTAAGGACAGCAAGCAGCTGCCCCAGGCACTGGGCTTTGTCACCATCCAGGCTTGTGAAAGCATTTCTAATGAGACCCGAATTGTAAAACTACCATGGGTAACAACTGGTCTCCGGTCACATAGACCAAACACACATTCTGTGGTGAACTGGTCCCTGTAGCAGCCACAAATTCTATGCAACATGACCCTGAGCTGAAGGTCAACTGTCTGACCATTTAACTGCTGTCTGCCCGCTTTGTAAACAAGCCTCGGTGGCCGCAGATGTCAGAGCTGCCTTTCTGTGCGTGTCACAGTTGTATTCACTGCCCTGAGAAACTCAGAGAAACCTGAGGTCGAGGCTGCTTCCAGCTCGCTACCCTGCTTGGAACAGTCCCACTGACAGTAAATAAAGACTCTGTTGGACTTATTCAGGCATCTGGGGAGTTTCACTCCTCAGACACTCCATAACAAAACCAGCCAGCCAGCTGCAGCCTGCATCTGGCCAACTTCCGCTCTTTAAGCTTAAAAAAATATTAAAGTATGCAGAATTAAAGAAAAGAATTTTTTCCTTTTTGACCAAGGTGAGGTCAAGCGGGAGAGGAGGGGAGGAGCAAGCGGGGTTGGTGCTGTTCACGCTCTATGTTCAGAAGGCAAACCCTCGGTGGACAGAGCCCCCTCTCGGCTCTCCTCCCTAGTCAGGAGGCTGCTCTCTATGGCGCTGCTTCTGCCGCACAGCAGAAGCAACACTTCATGCTGCTTTCAGAACTGCCTGGGATTTGATGGCGCTCTTCTGGAAGAGCCTAGAGGAGGTCACCTGGCTGGGGGAGCCAGGGCAGACAAGCACACAAAGCGTTGGGCTCAGCAGGATAAACTCATCACCCTGGCTTCCATTTAGGTTAGATTTGCTTGTTTGTTTGAGCCTCAGGCCTGGACCAGACTGGCCTTGGGTGACCCCGTGCTCCTGAGTGTCAGGGTTACAGGAGTGCGCTGTAATCTCCCATCTTTGTAGGTGGCTCGGTTGTTTCCGAGCAGGTTATCTGCACAAACCGGAGGCTAGAAGGGGGCTGTTTGCACTGCGAAGCCATTAGCAATGATTTGAGATGCCCTGTTGTTATTTTGAGGAAGGGTCTCTCTTATAGCTCTGGCTGGCCTGGAGCTCACTATGTAGACCAGGATGGCTGTGAGCTCAGAGTCCCGACTGCCTCTGCCTCCAAAGTGCTGGATTAAAGGTAGCTTTAAATTTGGTTTTTGGTGGAGACCGGGGAAAACTGGTTCCTAGAGTGTTTCAGAAGTCCGCATCAAGGAACACGAATCTGTTCCCAGCACAAGAATGCAGGTCTCCGGCAGAACTCCAGGCCAGGTTTCACATCTGCGGGTCATCCCAGCTGGTCATGAGACAGCCAGCAAGGATACTTTGTTAGACTTTGTGGCAAACCACAAAGGTTGCTATTGTTTCAATTTACAGAGAGACGTGAACTAAGCTGGGAGGCGGGCAAGCTTCTTGCAGCTGGAATCTGACTCTGACTCCTGCAGGGTTGTGCTACAAACAGCCCTCAAAGAAACAAAGTAACCACTAATCCTGCAAGAGAGGAAATGTAGCTGAAAAGGTTGCAGGCTGGGTGGCTGCGGGTGCCCGCAACCTCAGCGCTTGGGAGGATGCTGAGCCAGCCTGAAATACACAGCAAGACCCCAACTCAAAACAATACCCCGGCAACAGTCACAGCACACTAAACCAAACACACACACACACCCTCTTAGTTGACGGGACTGTGCAATTTTGGGATAACATTATCTGTTACTGTAAGGTCTGTGATGGCCACATACCAACCAGGTCAACCGATTCAACAGGTCCCAAGGACCATACAACTAGCTCTCCCAACTATGTTTGTTGTTGTTGGAGGCACGGTCTTTCTATGTAGCCCTGAAGCTCACTGTGTAGACCAGGCTGGCCTGGCCTCGAACTCAGAGATCCTCCGACTCAGGTCAAAGGCGTGCGCCACCACACCAGGCCTTCATTTCCTCTCGGATCGGCCTCTCGCGACCAGTTCCCCCGACCCACTCACCATCGGGGCCCTGGCGGGCCGCAGCGTGCAGCGCCGTGTCGCCGTGGCGGTCCTGGTGGGCAGGGTCAGCCCCGAGACGTAGCAGCAGGCACAGGGCTGGGGCATCGTGACGGGCGCAGGCCCTGTGCAGGGGAGGGGGCTGCCCGGCATCCACATCGAGGCCCGGGTGTCGCTGGAGGAGAGCCTGGGCCCGCACCAGCCGCCCGGCCGACAAGTACCGCCGGAAGCGGCGCTCTCGGCGTTGCCGGCGGGAAGCAGAGGCCATGGAACTCTTGGGCTGAGGAAGAAGTGGGAAATGTGAGGACACGACCGCCCGCTGCTGCCTTCACCTCCCATCTCCCTCACAACTCAGCGGAGATGAAGCTGGTCTATAACCTAAACTCTCGTCCCTGACCATCTGACAGGTTGGGGGGCCGGGGAGGCAGAGTTGGGGTCGGGGCCACAGGTTTAACTTTGGATGTAATTTTTGAGAAAATGATACACAATTGCTTTAAGGCTCCAGATCCCAAGAAAAAAAGTTCATTCTGGACTTTGGAGGGGAAAAGAAAGAACAAAAAAATCAAGTAAGGCCAGAGCGGGGAAATTTTCATCAGCCATGATCTAGAAACGGAATACAATGTACCCGACAGACAGACGTGGAGGCTTCGTCCTCGGGGGCCGGGGTGACTCATCAAACCTGCTCCCCGCCCCCCAGGACCCGCGGAACTCGAGGCCCGAGCCCGTGTTTAGGTCGCTCCAAGAAGAGAGGCGGGAAGGGAAGAGCGCTCCGGGCGGGCGGAAGTGAACCGCGGGGCCCGTCCCGGAAATCATTCCGTCCACACTGGGTGACTCGCGATTAGGCCTCCGGAGGGGAAACAAGGCGATCGCGACACAGGGTCCTCCTGAAACCAGAAGACTGGATCAGAGGCCGGGGCTGGAAGGCAGGAGGGCTGTGTGGAAGTTTATCTCGGACCCCTTCACTAGGAGGAGGGGAGGGATACTTTAATAACGGATAGAAAAAAAAATGAAAAGAGAAAGAGAGAAAAGATGGGGGAAGTAAAGATGAAAAAAAATTACAGTGAAAAAAATTTAATCCCAGCACTTGGGAGGCAGAGGCAGGCCGATCTCTTGAGTTCGAGGCCAGCCTGGTCTACAAAGTGAGCTCCGGGACAGCCAGGGCTACACAGAGAACCCTGTCTCGGAATATAAAACAAAGAAAGAAAAAAAATCACAATGGGGCCAAATATATAAGTAAATCCAAAAACAAAAATACATGAGACGGGGCTGGAGAGATGGCTCAGAGGTTAAGAGCACTGACTGCTCTTCCAGAGGTCCTGAGTTCAATTCCCAGCAACCACATGGTGGCTCACAACCATCTGTAATGAGATTTGGTGCCCTCTTCTGGCTTGCAGGCATGGAGGCTGAACACTGTGTACATAATAAATAAAAAAAAAAATACATGAGACGACGCTAAGAAGGCAAACGTAGGACGGCAGGCGAGATGTGTGCAGACGTTCGGATTTGGGAAATCCAAATAAAAAAAAAAAAAAGGAGACTGAGGGGGGAGGGGAGGCGGGTAGACCGAGCAGAGCTGGGAGTGTGAAACCCACGGTACTGTTCCAAGCACACCCTTACCTTCCCACACCGTGCTCATTGTCTTTGCGTCTCCTCTGAGACCACCAACCACGCTCTCCTCCCACCCGAACACTGCAGCCTCCCCTTCCCCCATCCTCAGCCCTGCAGACCCGGGGACACCGAGGCCCTGCACCTGCCGCCGTTAGTCAGCACAGGCCTGGTCTCTGCTGCCCCCAGGCGGCCGTGTGGGGGTACTACCTCAGTGAGGCGCCAGAGGAGGACCAGTCATCGGTGTGAGGATGCCGAAGAGAAAACGGGAGCACTAAGACCCAGTGGGAGTGGAGGACTGCAGCGACGGGCCGGAGGAGTAGGCGCTGGAGGGTGGGAGCCATCTGGTACCTTGGTCGCCTTCGAAACAGCATCCTCTCTAGTGGCAAAAATGGCCAGTCAGTCCCAGGGTATCCAGCAGCTCCTGCAAGCAGAGAAGAGGGCAGCGGAGAAGGTGGCCGATGCCAGGAAGAGTGAGCTTCCTCTTTCCTCTGGAAGGAGAATCTAGGGGCAGGGGATAGCGGGCATTTGAGTCCTTAGGAAAACCCAAGGATAATGGAGACAGAGCTGGGGGGCCGAAAGCTTATTAGGATAGAAGAAGTGGGTGGGTTTTAGAATCGAGCGCTTGGTTGGCTGACAGGAAGCTGAATAACTTTCTTGAGGGGACTGGTCCCTGCTAGCACACCAGTGTGTGTATGTGTCTATACCCACTGTCCTTCTGCCTCTAGGGAAGGCCCGACGACTGAAGCAGGCGAAGGAGGAGGCCCAGATGGAGGTGGAGCAATACCGCAGGGAGCGTGAGCAGGAGTTCCAGAGCAAGCAGCAGGCGGTGAGCTGACGGGCAGCAGGGGTGGACCCGCCCAGGTGCAAATTAGTGGGCGCCTCCTGTGAGACGTGTGCAGGTGCCTCAACAAGAAACTGGGGTGTGAGGGGACTGAAGGGATCCTGGCAACATCCATTGGGGGCGGGGTTCACAGTCTGTGTGGAGTGTGGCAACATCGATGGGGGAGCAGCCTTCACAGTCTGTGTGGAGTGCGGCAACATCGATGGGGGGGGGGCAGAGTTTTATGGCCATCGTGGTGAGGTTTTAGACTCTGGGTGAGAAATCGGGATTGTGCTGACCTGTCTGGTACCCAGATGTTTTTGTGGGGTGCATGTAGTTTTGAAAAGGTTTTCCAAGCTTTATTCGGGATCCTCCCTTCTGCACGCTGGGACCTTTCTTTCTCTGTTTCTGCTTTTTTCTTTCTTTCCCTCCTCCCCCTCCCCCAGGCCATGGGCTCTCAGGGTAACCTGTCTGCTGAAGTGGAACAGGCCACCAGACGCCAGGTCCAGGGCATGCAGAGCTCCCAGCAGAGAAATCGGGAGCGTGTCCTGGCTCAGCTTCTTGGCATGGTCTGTGACGTCAGGCCCCAGGTCCACCCCAACTACCGGATCACTGTCTAGGACATCATAGGGACAATGTCCCTAGAGGCTGACTCCTGCCAGCTCCTTCCATAGAGAAATATCCCAACTGGAATCGCTTGCTTGTGTAGCATGCACAGAGTCCTGGCTTTGATCCCTAGTACCCCCGCCCCATCACTTCACATCATAACCTGTTCCCAGGAGAGATTATCCTAGGGGACAGGAGCCAACATTCTCCCGCAAGGCTTACATCCTACTCAAACCCGAACCTCTGTGTTCCATGAGACCACTGGAACTATACTAAGGAATGCCCAACTCGTCCTCACCCGAGCCTTCTGTAAGACATGTGACATGGTGTCGGGGGTGTGGATTGCACCCTGACTTCAGAGCTCACCCGAGTCTTCTGTGAGACATGTGACATGGTGACGGGGGTGTGGATTGCACCCTGACTTCAGAGCTGGCGGGTTTGGGCTCCTCTCCCTCCTCTGTTCCTTGCTGGCTGCTAGACTGGGACAAGCTATTTAACCTGGAAGCCCCAGTGCCCTCCTGTTTGTAACTGGTATGATAGCAGTGTTCGCCCTGAAAGGTGGTGCTGTGACCCGTGCTGTAAGAAGTCAGCACAGCTCCAGATGGGCACTAGTTGTGATTCGATGTATGACAAGCCTGTGTTATGATCACCATCCCGACCCCCGCTTGCCTGCCCGAGTCCGAATACTCTGTTCTCGGCACTCCGTGATGCTCGGTCATTGTGACTCTAGCAATCTCTAAAGATTGTCTGTGCTGCTCTTCCCAGGCACCTCATGGCCCCTGAAAAGTCAGTATGATAATGCCATTTAGCCCCTCGCAGAGTCCCAAGTGTATGTTGAACCCCTTAGCGCCTCTCTCTGGTTCTCGTGAGTGGGTCTCTCCCTTTGGCTCTCCTTCCCTGTTTTCCTGAAGCCTACTGCACCTCAGAGCTGAAGGATGCAGTGACACCCACATTCACGGGTTCCTTTCTGTGCCCTCAACACCTCGCTTCCCCGTGCAACAGCAGTGTCAATAAAGTATCCACCACGCGTCACTTGGTGATGAGAGTGGCCTCTTCTTGCCTCACCCTTTCTCATTTTGGTTCACTCGCCTCAGATCTCTGCAAGAGGCTGAGCTGGGACGCTTTTGGAAAAGCAAAAACACATAGTAATGTATTCATTTCCCTCAAACAGGAACACGTGTGGCTCTTTGGGAACCAAGGCCTGCATAGGATAACAGTAAGAGACAAGCTGGTGTGTCGGGACAGGCACTCTGCACCTTCCCTTGTTCTACCTTCTTATTAGTGCCTGGTGTGTGTGTGCGTGTGCACGTGTGGTGTGTGTCTGTGCATGTGTGTCAAAGAGAGAGGGGGAGGGAAGGAGGGAGAGAGAGGAGAGAAAGAGAGATGGAGAGAGAGAGAGTCTCACGGTGTATCTTACTATGTACCCCTAACTGTCCTGGAATTTGCTAAGGAGACCACCTGGCCTTGAACTCACAGAGATCCACAAGCCTCTGCCTCTTGAGTACTGGGATTAAAGACGCGCCACCACGCCTGGCTTGACATTGTGTGTTTAGGTCTTTGCTCTCATTATGTAAAGTATCAGATGATAGGCTGTTGTGTCCCCAGAGCCCAGGATAGCACTCGGCACATGATTGGCAGCTGGCGAATACCGTAGAGTGAAATGATGCTGGGGTGGGGACCGCTCTGTGACTCCCGTTCTTGCAGCAGCTCTCCTCACTACGGGAGGGGCTCCTCTCCTTTCGCCCAGTGAGAATCAGTGAGGTAACCTATAGTCTTTTCTTGCATGACTTTTCTGTAGGTAGACATAAAAGAAAGTCCATTTATGCCAGATAGCTCACTAATGAAAGACCTAAGAAACGGCTCCTCCAAGTCTAGACTGGCAGACCGAGGGGCCCATTGGCGGTAGTGTGGGTGGTAGGTCATTCACAGGAGCAGGGAGACCGAGGGGCCCATTGGCGGTAGCGTGGGTGGTAGGTCACTCTCAGGAGCAGGGAGACCGAGGGGCCCATTGGCGGTAGCGTGGGTGGTAGGTCACTCTCAGGAGCAGGGAGACCGGAGCAGCTTCTCATCAAAAAGTCGTCTTCCTCCATCATCAGAGCTCTCTGATCCACGCGGATCCACCGGAGACGCCCGTCACCGGGACACAGTCTGGGAGAAGGGCTCTGTGTCTTGCAACTTCTTTCTGAGAGTCTTCTCTAATCTCATGAGGGGGGATGTGTCAATCCAGAAGAAATAGCTATGCGAAATCAACCAGAGTTTTGAAGTAGGAGACAGACGTGATGGGAAATTGGGATGCTTCCATCTTGGTGTGACCGTGCTACCTGGACTGCTTCGGCCGTCTTGCTTTATTCTCTGTTTGCTTATGTTTATAGGAGTAGTTGAGCAGGGCACGGTGCCTTTAATCCCAGCACTTGAAGGCTGAGGTGGGAGAATTGAGGGTCTGAGGCTAGTCTGGGCCATATAACAGACTCAAACTCACTGACAAAGAAAAGGAATCACGTAAGACGAGGCCTCTCCTTGCTCTGGGCCACTGGCCCAGGTTAAAGCATTGCTAAAATCACTATGAACGTTAACAAGTTATTTAAGTGTTTATCATAAGGGCTCCTCTGACGTTCACCAACAGGTGGGGCAATTTGACTCTCTACGGACAGCTGTCGGACAATTCCTTTCTGCCTCGACGGACAGCTGTCGGACAATTCCTTTCTGCCTCGGCTGCCTTAAGCAGGACTGTCAGCCAGTCAGATCATCCTTTGCCCAGCACTGGCCATTTTGAACACTTTGGAAAAACCACCCAGTGATGACAGCTAATTGTTTCAGCTCTTTAAGGTGTAGCCTCAGTCAAGACTGTATCAGTTGGCTACTGGATTTTTTGCTATCACAAGCTTTGATGGACTCTAGACGACATTTAGTCCCCTGTCATCATCCCGTACCTCCCTCTCCGTGGTAGCGTGGTGGAACTTCCCATTCTGGAGCAGAGGGGGCCTTATGACTGGTGCTAAAAAGGGACAAAACTGCCGGGCGGTGGTGGCACACGCCTTTAATCCCAGCACTCGGGAGGCAGAGACAGGCGGATATCTGTGAGTTCGAGGCCAGCCTGGTCTACAAGAGCTAGTTCCAGGACAGGAATCAAAAAAGGTACGGAAAAAACCCTGTCTCGAAAATTAAAAAAAAAGGGGGGGACAATACTCATTGGTGCAAACAGAAGCCTTCACTGCACAAGTTTGTATGGTTGGTGCAAACACAAGCCTTCACTGTATGAGTTTGTGTGGTTGGTGCAAACATCCTTTGCTGGCTGTAAAGCAGCATGTTTGGCTCACTTGGTGGGTCAGCAGGGATAGCCGGGGATAAACCGTACTGTGTTACCCTCCTGAGTGCTACAACGTTAGATCCAATAAAAGGCTTCTCTTGAGAGGGCTTCTCTGGCCTTTTAGGCTGAGCTGGTAACAGAAGCGGCTGAGAACCTGGGAAGTCTTCACAGCCATGGGCCCCAGATACCTCTCTCTCTGGTGCTGCGGCACTTCCTAGTGTACTAGGGTCCCAAATCCCCGCTTACTCCTAGGCGCACACAAAAGCTGTGGCGTCTGTGATGCCAACACGAGAGGGCGCACCTCCCACAGCAGCGAATGCTTCTGAGTTGATCAGGACACAGCCTTGGTGACAATGGTACCTCTCTTATTGTTGAGGGGGGACGTGTGCTGACAGGGAAAACTCGCGCTTACATTTATGATGCAGCGGGTCAGCAGAACATCACTCTTTATGTAGGTAGCGTCTCAAAGAAAGGAGTACTACATATATAGGGGGGAAATCCAGGCTGAATAATGGAGCTGCTGAGTAGGAATAAGGGCATTCTGCTATCATTAATAATAATGGAAAAATAGTTTAACTCCCAAACCCCACCATTTGTTTTTTAACGCTTAGACAGAATGCAAACCTCCATCTCCCAAGCTGCTACGCTGCTAGTAACACTGGATAGATCGTGCTCATTCTCCCCGCAACCCCACCACACCACCCTCCCCCGGGAAGGTCTGACGGGCTCGGCCACCCCCAGGTCACCTTGACGACCAGGCTCAGGCCCCCGTGAGAACGCGTCCCGCTCGGCACGCAGAGTCCGCGGCGCCCAGAGAGAGGCGTCCAGAGATAAGCCTGGAGTGGCAAAGGAAACAAAACAAAAGCAAAGCCGAACGCCGAGGGGAGAGGTGTGGAGAAGCGGGGAAGCATTTCGGGGAAGAGGCGCGAGCTTCGCGCCCTGCTGCTGTCCCTGGCGGCGGCGGAGGGGCCCGAGGACGGATTCCAAACAGGCGTTTCTCAGAGGCAGCCCCGGAGCGCGCGCGGCGGGAGGTCCGCCGCGGGGCCGACTTCCGGCATCCCGCGCCTGCGCCCTGGCAGCCGGGAAGGCGGCCAGGCGGCGGCCGCGCCTGGAACCGGAAGTGAAGGCAGGTTCCCGCCTCCGTTCGGGCTGCCGCCGCCATACGCGCTCGCAGTGCTTAGGTAAGGCTCGGCCTCGGGTGCCATCCGCTGCCATCCGCCCTCCCCGCGCCGCGTCCCACCGCCCGCGCCGCTGATCCCGCTCTCCCGGGCCGCGCGGTCCGGCTGCCGGCGCGTAGTCGGGCACCCGACTCCATTGTCCTCGTCCCTTCCCGGGGAGCCAGCCCTGCCGGGCCCCCGTCCAAGATGGTGGCCGTGGCCGCCGCCGCGCTCCTTCGCGGCGTGGGTGACCCAGCGTGTCCCTTCCCCTCCCCCCGGGGCCGAGGCCACCGGGGGCGGCGCCTTGGGAGGGCGGGGCCGCCCGTCGCGGGCCTGCAGGGTGGGGGACGAGATGGCGCCCGCCCGGGCCCGTTCCAAGCGCCCCCCGAATGGCTGCCCCCGTGCGTGGCCGGCGGTGTCGCCACGAAAGGACGTCCTCCCGGGACGCGCGGGGCGGCGCGAAGACCGAGGCTGGGCAAGCGCTGCCGTTTAACTGCGCACGCTCCAGCCTTCCCGGTTGTGGGTTTTTTCTGGCATTGAGCCATTTGTACCCCTGCACCTCTGCCCCTTCTGTACCCCTGCACCTCTCTCAACTTCTGCACCTCCTCCCTCTCCTGCACCCCAGCGTTTCCTGCACCTCTCCACCTCCTGCATCCCTCTACCTCCCGCACTCCCTGCACCCTCTGCACCTCCTCTCCTGTACCCCTTCATTTCCTGCACACACACACACACACACACACACCCGCACCTCCCGTTCTGGCGGTAGGCCTCCCCGCCCACCTTCCCTCCAGCTTCCCCGGGGTCGGGGCTGGGATCGCGGGTGTGCGCCGCCGGGACGGGCACCCACGTGATTCTGGACGGGTGACCACAGCCACATGATGTTCGCAATTGCTAGTGAGCGCTCCGCGCAGTGCTGACATTTATCTATCACCCTTGACTGATGGCTGATGGTGGGGACCAGCACCGGGCGGTGACAGGGACAGCGCAGCCTTAAGTCTCCTCGTCCCCGTGCATTTCCCCCTCCCGCCAGTCGTTTTTCACGGTGTCTGAGTAAGCCGCCGACACCTGAGACCGCTCTCCACGTGTCCCGTTTGGTGTTGTGTGTCTCTCTGTCACTTTCCTTCCGGGCAAGGTTTGTAGTTGAGGGAAAGTAGGAAGAAGTGGGGTGGACCAGAAGTACAGAGTCTATTTGTGACTGATGAGTTTTCCTTTGTTGTTGTTCTCCACTCTCCCAGCTCTTCCGTCAGAACACTGGTGTCTTTCCCTTCTGTTCCTCGAACGCCTCTTTCCCCTTCTTTCTCACCTGCTCTGGGACCACTCACCCCAAGACCTCCCTCTTCCCGTGCTGGCCCAGTTATGGCAGAGAATGACGTCGACAACGAGCTCTTAGACTACGAAGATGATGAAGTGGAGACAGCGGCTGGGGGAGATGGGACCGAAGCGCCTGCCAAGAAAGACGTCAAGGGCTCCTACGTCTCCATCCACAGCTCTGGCTTCCGAGACTTCCTGCTCAAGCCAGAGCTGCTCCGGGCCATTGTAGACTGTGGCTTTGAGCATCCATCAGAAGGTGGGCAGAGACCTTAAGGATCTTAAGGAGGGGATTGTGTTTAGGATAGGCCAGGCCATGAGATTGTATCCATAAGTCAGCACTAGAAGATTCTCCTTGGCTTTGATCAGACAGAGGGCCTGGCTGGACCTTAGTTCCCGTCTTTCGGGCCAGGGCGGCTGTGGTCTCTAACAACCGTAATGATTGGTCTAAAGGTGCTGGCTTCTGGGTCATATGCCAAGTCCTTCATTTTGTCCAAGATTGCAGGGTTACCTGACCCAAAAGCATAGAATTGGCCTGTAGTAGGCATTCAGGTTCCTGGATTGTTAGAGTGTAGGGAAAATAAAGACAGCCAGGGACATTGGAGGTGAGCTGTTGGCAGGTGCCAGAGGGTTTTTATAGCACCAGGGAGGCCTGAAGCTAAGAAGGGCTTGACTTGGATATAAATGTGACCAATGGGACAGAGATAGGACGGTCTGAAAGGTGATGGGGACCAGGTGAAAAATCTGGAGTATCAGCTGGGAAGAAGGGGTTGGCGGGGTGCAAAAAGTCTTCCCCCTTTCCCTTCTAGTCCAGCATGAATGCATCCCTCAGGCCATTCTGGGGATGGATGTCCTGTGCCAGGCCAAGTCGGGCATGGGGAAGACAGCAGTGTTTGTCCTGGCCACACTGCAGCAGCTGGAGCCAATCACTGGGCAGGTATGTTGGGGCAGTGCTGGGGAGGGCACGGACACTGGCTATAAGACACTCTCAGAGCTGGTCTCCCTGCCAGCTGGGGGAATGTTCTTGTTCTGTAGCGGCATGGGCTTAAGCACTTTTGTGACGACAGTCACTCTGGAGAGGGTGGCGAAGGACTGACTTCACTGTCTCCGTTGCTCCCTTGAGGTGTCTGTGCTGGTGATGTGTCACACTAGGGAGCTGGCCTTTCAGATCAGCAAGGAGTACGAGCGCTTCTCAAAGTACATGCCGAACGTCAAGGTGAGAGGCTGAGACGCCAGGGACGGGGTGTGGGGGTCGGAGTATGAGGTGAGCTCCCGCGGGCAGCATGGGTGTCTTTACTGCAGTGGCAGGGCCTTCTGCAGCTGTCCGTGCGGGTGCAGTGCTGTGACTGCATCTGTGTCCCTGAGAGTTCGATGACACTTTGATTTACTTTTTTTATTTTTTGTGGTGTTGTAAATCTGATTCCAGAGCCTTGAGCTGCTAAGTGAGTCTGCTCCTGCGCTACCCTATGCATTGTTTATGTAGTTTCTGCCTGCATGGCAGTGGGCACCAGATCTCATTACAAATGGTTGTGAGCCACCACATGGTTGCTGGGAATTGAACTCAGGACCTCTAGGAAGAGCAGTCAGTGCTCTTAACCTCTTAACCATCTCTCCCAGTCCCCACCCCGTGCCTTGTTTTTAAGTTTAAGATCGACTCTTAACCAAATTACCCTGGTAGGCCTTGAACTCACCTCAGACTAGAGCCAGCCCTGAACCTGAGCCTCCTGCCTCAGCTTCCTGAGTAGTTGGGACAGGCCTTTGGCTGGAGCGCTCTTTTGTTCCCCAGCACTGCTTGTCAGATGGCTGGAGAGAGGTCGTGTGTAGCAAGAGGGAGCAAAAGCTTCAAAATAGCTGTGTGTGGACTCTAGGGTGATAGGAGACCGTAAGAGGTGGCCGTGTCTGCTACGGTGATACGGCGAGGACTTTGACCAGGAGCTTGGCATTGTTTAGGGACGTGGAGATGATGTGTTGCTATGCTTAAGTGTGTGGGGTCTGCTGTGACCAGAGTGCTTCATGGCCCTGTGACACGTAGACTCCTGTTCTGGTTGGGGGGGGGGGGAACAGTCCTTTGCTCACGCTCTTTACAGATAACAGTTTTGCTTGGTTGAGAAAGAATATCACCATGGGCAGGCAGGGGTTATGGGTGTGTGCCACCACCCTCACTCAACTGTATGTTTTAAACTAGTAATTTTGAGGCCGAACCCTAAACTGAAAATAATTTTTTAAAAACCAAAGTAGGGCCGAAGGCTCTGGTTAGAGTGTGTGCTCCGCAGCCTGGTGGCTGAGCTGTGAGCTCAGACTGCATGAAAGCAGAAGGGAGAGCCAGGCTCCCACCCCAGCATGTGCACACAACACGATGGGTTATTTATTTAGTCATCCACGATGGGTTATTTATTTAGTCATCCACCCGTCTATTTATTTATTTGGACTGGCTTTTTCTGTGTAGTCTTGTAACGTGCTCTGTAGACCAGGCTGGCCCTGCCTCTGACTCCTGAGTGCTGGCATTAAAGGCCTGCAGTGCACCACCATGCTCGACCCAGAATGCTCTTAGGGTTGGGATCAAATACAAGGCTGGGCCAGGCATGGTGGCACATTCTTTTAATTTCAGCACTTGGGAGACAGAGGCCTGTGAATCTCTGAGGCATGGTCTACAGAGTGAGTTCCAGGATAGCCAGGACTACACAGAGGAACCCTGTCTTGTGTAGGGATGAACCTGGATATGGTGTGTGCACCTATAGTTGCAGTTAGTTAGGGTGAATACCCCATGTGCTGCCCCCACCCCTCGTCAGTCACTTACAGAATTGTCTATTTTTCTCTGGTCACCATTAGGTCTTGCTTACTCTTTCCTCAGTAGTTACTCCAGACCAAAACTTATATTTGGAAGCGTAATAGATGTAAGGTAGTACATTTTGGGCATGAATGCTCCTGTTTGCCGCCAACCTTGTTAACCATTAGTGGTTTTGGAGTGAGAGTGGAGGAAGAGGTTACCATAGAATAAGCGTTGGGGAGGCTGGAGAGATGGCTCTGAGGTTAAGAGCACTGGCTGCTCTTCCAGAGGTCCTGAGTACATAATTAAGTATACACTGTATACATAAATCTTCAAAGAAAAAAGAATAAGTGTGTGACATTGTGCTCCCTGATTGTTCTTTCCCCTTGAAACTGGAGAAGTCCACGGGGTACTTGATGTAGTATTACAGCTCAGATCCCAGCATTCACCTAGTAGTTTACACAAGGCAAGACTTAATCTTGGCACTCAGGAGGTCAGCCAAAGCTACACCAGCTGAGTTAGGGAAGCTTAGTATTGTGTGTGTGTGTGTGTGTGTGTGTTTGTAGTACTTCACACTTACTGACGGCTTGTGTTCTTGCTGTTTTCATTCTTCTAAGAAAGCCATGGCTTTAGATTCACATGGGCCTTACTGTGTGGGTCAGCCAGGGCTATGTAGAGAGCCTGTCTCAAAAAAAAAAAAAAAAAGGCATTTGAGTGACTGGACACTCTTCTTCATCCCTGCCCCCAGTTGGCCCTGCAGTGCCGATCAGGTCCCTTTGTTTCTTGCCTGATGTTTGGAGGCTTGTGAGTCACTGCAGGTCTGACAGCCAGCAGCTGGTCTACAGTCAGCTAAGAGTGGGCACCGCTATCTGGCAGGGTGGTCTGTGCCTTCTCCTAGCATTTGGGCAGCAGACGGGCTGATCACAAAGTGAATGTAAGGCCAGTTAGGGCTACACAGTGAAACTTTATCACAAGAGAAGGAAAGGGGAAAGGTAAGTAACATGGACTCTGGGGAGACTGGAGCCTCTTCCTGTCTCATGAGCCTTTCCTGTTGGCTGACAGGTGGCAGTGTTTTTTGGCGGTCTGTCTATCAAAAAGGATGAAGAGGTGCTGAAGAAGAACTGCCCACACATCGTCGTGGGGACTCCCGGCCGGATTCTAGCCCTGGCTCGAAATAAGAGCCTGAACCTCAAGCACATTAAACACTTTATCTTGGACGAGTGTGACAAGATGCTTGAACAGCTCGGTGAGTGGCTGTGCTTGGCTGGGATCAGGGGGTTTGGGAGCTGCCCCTTGGAGCCAAATGATGTTTGCTTGACACGGGAGCACGCGTGTGCAAGGACGACTCTGGATCTATCACCCATGACTGATGGCTCTGCATTCCTTTTCCTCCCCTGGGGTTGGGCGCTGAAGGCCTTGTGCATGCTGGCCTGTTAAAGTAGAGCAGAGGGGCCTGCCCTTCTGCCCCAGGACAAAGTGGTTCTCAACCTTTCTGATGGTGCAACTGTTGTGACCCCCAACCATGAGATTGTTTTTGTTGCTATTTCATAACTGTAATTTTGCTACTGTTATGAATCAAAATGTAAATATCTGATACGGGACCCTTGTGAAAGGATGTTCACCCCTCCCCTGTCTGGACTCACAGGTTGAGAACCGCTGTGGTTATAGTATGCCTGACCAGAATCCATGAACAAGCAGGTTTCTAGAGGTCAATTCTGAGGTTCATCCGAGTGTTCACAGAAGTCATGAGTTCTGGTTGGGCAGTTTGTCACGTGGGGTTGAAAGAAAGTTTTTTGTTTTGTCTTCTCTCTCTCTCTCTCTCTCTCTCTCTTTCTCTCTCTTTCTCTTTCTCTCTCTTTTTCTTTGGTTTTTCGAGACAGGGTTTCTCTGTGGCTTTGGAGCCTGTCCTGGCACTAGCTCTGTAGACCAGAATGGTCTCGAGCTCACAGAGATCCGCCTGCCTCTGTCTCCCCAGTGCTGGGATTAAAGGCCTGAGCCACCACTGCCCAGCTAAAAGAAAATGTTAAGGATTTTGTAGGGCAATTAAGAGCGGACGGCTCTTTAGAGGACCTGGGTTCATCCCAGCACCAATGTGGCAGCCATAATGGTCTGTAATCTAAGAACATCTTGTTCCTCTTGGTCTCCATGGGCACCGAATAGAAGTGGAGCACAGACAGAACATCCATACACTTTAAAAATGAAGGTGTTCAAGGGTGAGAACTGGCTGCTCTTCCATCCCAGCACATTCCCACATGGCAGTGTAGCCATGTGTAGCTCCAGACTCAGGGGATCCAAAGCCCTCTTACACCTACACACATAATAAAAATTAAAAATAACTTAGTGCTGGGTGGTGGTGGTGCACACCTTTAATCCCAGCACTAAGGGTGAGGCTAAGGGTCTCTTAAGTTGAAGACCAGCCTGGTCTACACACTGAAACTCGTTCCCTTAAAAACAAAATAAAAACTTGTGTGCCTTTAAACCCAGGTGGGTCTTTATGAATTGCAAGCCAGCCAAGGGCTACATAGTAAGATCCTATTTTTTTTTTATTTGAAATATATTACTACAAGATAATTAGGGCTAGCAAGGAATAAATTGTTTTTTATATTATTTTTATTGAGCTCTACATCTTTCTCTGCTCGGCTTCCTGCCTCTCCCTTCCCCCTTTCAACCCTCCCCCAAAGTCCCCATGCTCCCAATTTACTCAGGAGATCTTGTCTTTTTCTACTTTCTACTTCCCATGTAGATTAGATCTATGTAAGTCTCTCTTAGTGTCTGCATTGTTGTCTAAATTCTCTGGGATTGTGGTTTGTAGGCTGGCTTTCCTTGCTTTATGTCTAAAAACCACCTATGAGTGAGTACGTGTGATAATTGTCTTTCTATTGGTTACCTCACTCAAAATAGTGTTTTCTAGCTCCATCCATTTTAAGACCTTATCTTTAAAACAAAACCAAAAAAAAAAAAAATAAAACAATAATTTTGGTTTGGTTAGTTGCAAGAGTAGGAAAGCACATAGCCCCAGAGGGAAGTCTTTCCAAATGGCCTTTGGCTGCCTAAGATGGCAGAGTAACGGTGGGCATTAGGTCCTATTTGCCTGGCCGTTCAGGGATGTGAGGCTGGAGTCAAGGTGAAGGCCAGAGTGGATGATGGCTTCAGTGAGTGCTTTGTAGACTGGTGCAGGGGAAGAGCTGCTGGACCGCCTCAGCGTGTGGTTTTTTATGTACACATCAGTACGTCGCTCTTCCTGGCATGGACCTTGCTGTGTGAGCCTGACTGGCAACTCAGACCAGCCTACCCCTACTTCCTGAGTGCTGGGATTCAAGATGTCTACCACCACACTTGGCAAGATAGTTTGTGTTTAAGGTTTATTTTTGTATGGAATGTTCCAGAGATTTCTGTGTCATTCTTGTGTAGGGGCTGTACTAGTCCTCCCTTTATAGTCCAGCTTTAGTGCTGCTGGGGGGCTTGGGTTATTATTTCTCTGTGATTTCCCATGGAGGCCTTGGCTTCCCTAGCAGCAAGAGCTCCTGCATGCTGAGCCTCTCTCCAGCCTCATGCTCTGTGTTTAAGGACTGCCATTCCTGAGCCCATGTTGGATTTTGTCCCCATTTTATAAATTTGGACTTTAGGTTAAGTTAAATTTCTTGGCTAAAAAAAGGGCCGAGAACCTGACCCCAAGTATCTTTGTAAATACATCGCTTTTTTCCATGTTGTTACTTTTGTTTTTTTCAATCTCGAGTAGCCTTGGCTGGTCTTAAAACTCAAAATATAACTCCTGATCCTCCTGCCTCCTAAGTTCTGGTATTATAAGGCTGTGCCCCAAGCCTGGCTTGTTCTGGAGATGATGGAGGGAGGAGGCCGTGGCTCTAGAGTGACTCCTGCGCTCTCACTGGCTGTGGCCTCACTTCCTTCTGCAATCCTCCCGCAGACATGCGTCGGGATGTCCAGGAAATCTTTCGCATGACCCCCCATGAGAAGCAGGTCATGATGTTCAGTGCTACCTTGAGCAAAGAGATCCGGCCAGTCTGCCGCAAGTTCATGCAAGATGTAAATACCTTCTCCTTCTCTCCCTCCACTCCCCGCCCGCTGCCTCCTCCCCTTCCTCGCCCTCTTCCTCCAGACTCCCTTGTCCTTCAAACACCAAGAAGGGAGCTTGTGTCCACCTGGGAGTGACGGCTCCTTGAAGAAACACAGAGGCAGAGACAGTTAGCGCTAGGGTCTGCGCGTGCCAGGGAAACTCCGGAAGACTTGGTCGGGTTAACTTGAGAGCGGGTAGCGTTTGACATTTTTTAATCACAACATTTTTGAACCTCTTCTCACTGTCGGGGGTAGGGCACGATTTTGTGCCCTGTCACCTGCCATCGTTTCCTCCACACGACCACAGCCACGCACCCTCCAGGTGGCATGGGGCTTTCAGCTGGAGCCTCTGTTCACCGAAATGCATACATCTCAGAGGCAGGAGAGCAAGACAGGGACAGTCAGGTGGCAGGGCCTGTCAAGAAGAAGAGCAAGCAAACGGCACCACGAATCCACTCCTCCCAGCTCCAGGGGCGGGGGCCTTTGGCACCTCAGTCCCCAGTCCCCCCTCCTTCCTGCCCATACCTCCTTGCGCCCATTGGAGCCTTGGCTGATGTGAGCTGGCAGCAGAGAAGCTGAGGCACGGCGGGAGCACGCAGACCTACCAGCAGTGGATGGCAGCGCGGAGGCCACGGGGAGCCTGACCAGGATGCTGAGGACCAAACCAGCCTCTTTTTCTCTTCCCGGTTTCCTGAACCTAATGTGCTGTACCCCATTTCCCCATACTTGTTGGGGGAGGGGTGTCCTGAACGGGGTGGTGGAATTTTTCCCTCTCTTATTTTTTCTTAAAGGAGGGTGATGGGAAAAGCCAAACAGGAAGCTGTACTGGGATGTAACCAGGAGGGTGGCAGCGCCAAGACTGAGCATGGAAGGGTGGGGTCCACCTGCCCTGACCCATTTCTTCCCTTGAGAAGATGGCTGCCTCTTGGGCCGGGCTTGGGGCTAGAATTAGGAAGCTGTGAGACTTACTTGGGGAGCTGCCTTACCAGCCTGCTTTCGGGAGGAGACTTTTTTTTTTTTTTTTTTTTTTTTTTTTTTCGAGACAGGGTTTCTCTGTGGTTTTGGGAGCCTGTCCTGGAACTAGCTTTTGTAGACCAGGCTGGTCTCGCACTGGGAGGAGACGTCTTTATTCCTTCTTTATCCCTGGCTCTCTGAACTGTCTCTCGAGACAGAATGGAACACTGGGAAAGTCCCGCCTGAAGTTCACTGGTGTCTGATTGAATACTTAGGTTCCTCCCTCCCCTTCAAGGGCTCAGGGTGGGCATACAGTTCTTCCTGAAATGTGAGAGCAGTTCCTTTCCATTGCCTTTTCACCTTTGATGCTAAAAGATGGTTGTATTTGATTTTCAGAGAAAGGCAGTTGGGCAGGGAAGCTGTAAATCTTAAAACTGCTGGGATGGAGGGAGCTGGAGGAGGGCAAGAGAGGGGCCATGTCCTTAGACTCCAAGTAAGTAGATTGGCTCAGGAATGGAGTCTGTAGGCATCTGCAGGGGTTGGGGCTGCAGAGAACGGGAGACCCCTGAGGGTCAGCACAAGCTGCTAAGGATGCTGTCTGGTGCCATAAAAGAGGAAATGTTGGGAAAAGTCAAAGTTGTGCTGAGTTAGAGCTCAAAAAGGTGGTCAGGTCCAGCTGTGGCTGGGGGAAGCCTGCACTTCCTATTGTCAAGGACCATGTGTTGACCCCTCACCTCCTGAGTATAGATTGTTTGACTGACGAGTTTCCCCTAAAGCTGATCTAGTGGTTTGAGTACAGGTTGTCTCTCAACTTTGTCAATGTTTGCTTCTCTTTAATGACATTTTAAAACTTCATCCTCAGCCAGCTGAGACTGGGGTCCGTTTGCACTAATGCCCGGCTTTAGGATGGCTTTAGGACTGTGTCCACTACAACTTTCTGGCCTTGAGGACATAGGCTGACGTGTGTTGAGAGGACAGTTAAGTGGGGCAATTGTCCCTGTCCTGTTCTGGCGCCATTGCCCAGGCCCCAGCACCCCTGCCTCCTGTGTGACTTGGCCATGCTGTCCCCTTGAGCACTGTCTTCCATCGTTAATCATCCCCCCACCAGCTCCACCTGACACTGGCATGTTGTAACTGTGAGCTTCAGTGCTCTGCAGAGTTCCTTTCTCTGACTGTTCTCAGTTGGGCTTCTCGAAATCCAACTGATGCTGATGCTACCAGATGCACTGGAAAGGGACCTCATTACTAGAGTGTTCTTTGTGGTGGGAGGGGCTTCAGTCTTCTCTCTCCTCCCCATCAGTCCATGGGGTGTATTGGAGATCAGCGTCCTCCACCCCCCCAGGTTTAACCCCCCCACTCTGCCCTCCTCCTGCCCCCACCCTCCTTCCCTCAGCCTATGGAGATCTTCGTGGATGACGAGACCAAGTTGACGCTGCACGGGTTGCAGCAATACTACGTGAAACTGAAGGACAATGAGAAGAACCGGAAGCTTTTTGACCTTCTCGATGTCCTCGAGTTCAACCAGGTCAGTATTGAGGGTTTCTGTGGGCATGAGCACTGGGCAGCTCCAGCTGTGGCAAAAGCCTGTGTAGGAGGAGCCTGTGTTTGAGGAGCCAGTAAGCGAAGAGGTGAGAGTGGAGAGCAAGTCTGAGGCGTTGCTGGGTGAGAGGACTTGATGACCTCAGCAAGTGGAGAAGCCTTGAGATGGGGACGCTCAGCTGTCGCCTCTTGTAGTCACCTGAGAGTAGCAGTGTCAGCCTGTGCTCAGGTGGCCGCAGAGCCAATATGGGGCTCTTAGTGTTTGAAGAGGCTCATCTGCTTTTCTAGGCTGTAGCTGTCATTCCTAGCATTTTCCTGAGGTGGCCTCACCCTTGTGTGCCGGTGTGAGGTCTTGTGTCATGGCAGCTCAGAGGCAGGCTTTCAGAAGTCTTGTCCTAGACCCAGGCAGATGGTTCAAGAGGAGAAAAGAACATCCAAGAAGAAACGGGATAAGGGACTGGGGAACTCCGTTAGGAATTCTGCCAGAGCTGGGCTGTGGTGGCATCTGCCTTTAACCTCAGCTCTCAGGAGACGGAGGCAGCCAAGCCTCTTGAGTTCAACTCCAGGCTGGTCTATAGACTGAGGTCCAGAACAGCCAGGGCTACACAGAAACCAAAGAACTAGCCAAGCAAAAGTTCTGCCAGGTGTGCTGGCCCACAATTTTTTTTTTTTTTTTTTTTTTTTGGTTTTTTGAGACAGGGTTTCTTTGTGGCTTTGGAGCCTGTCCTGGAACTAGCTCTGTAGACCAGGCTGGTCTTGAACTCAGAGAGATCCGCCTGCCTCTGCCTCCCGAGTGCCGGGATTAAAGGTGTGCGCCACCATCGCCCAGCTGCTGGCCCACATTTTTAAACTCGAGCACTGATTAGTGAAAGACAGGGAACCTTTGGGAGTTAAGTTCTGGGCCAGCCTGGTCTACATAATGTGTTTCAGGACAACTAGGGCTACACAGAG